CTGGCACTCCCCTTATTGGGTGTGTGGCTTGGCTCTCCTAGGGTAGCCTGCCAATGCCTCTCCCTCAGTGAATCTCCATATCATCCACACTGTGGATTGGGGGAACGTAGTGAGATACTATCTGCGTCCCCCAGAGTCCCACACACTGGGGGCAGCTCCTCCAATGCTATAACTAAGCTTTTCAAACCCCAGTTCTTCAAGCCAGCAGAGCACTTCCTTTTATCAACTTCTGACAAGAGGCAGGACTTCACTCAAGGTCCAGGGTCAGTGCTCAAACTCCACAAGCAATTCTTTTGGGGTACTCCAAGTGTGGAGGGATGACAAGAAGAAAACCCACTCTCTCCAAAATCATATATCATGAAGAGGGATGGGGATGAGATAATTAGCATTTACATGGACTTTGCTCTCTCCAAAAGGCAATATTCTTCTCCCCCTTCAAAAGGATTTTTTATGGACTAAGTTGGTGAGGAAATTTCCACACTTTGTGAGGGCTGAGGCAATTCTCTGCACTTAAAAGGAGAAGCAGACAGTAACTTTGGACTCAGCTGTGAGCTGTCTCCCTGTTAGCTGCTGTCCTGATCAAAATCCTTCCTTGGAAGCCCGTGCAAGGTCTAATTAAGTAAATTCCAGTAAATTCATATCTAGCAAATTAATATAAACTCTCTACATTTTATGATGTTTGTTAAGAATGAGCTCAAAAACTCTTTAATATTTGACTGTCTGAATCAAGTTTTAATACTTTCTACATTTGGACTATCAACATTTTCAAAGGGAAAATTTTCCAATACCACATAAATGTCCAGGATGAATAAGAACATTTTATTTTCATTTGAAAATAACCAACATCACAATTCAATAAGAACTAATAATGGTTGTATAGTCCTTTATAGTTTACCAGGAACTCTCACCTACATCATCACATTTGGTTCCCACAACAAACCTTTGATATTTATTCAACATTTAGCTTACTGCGATTACTTCCCCATTTTATGGCTGTGATAACTAAAGCATGGCAAGGCTAGTGACCTGATCTGTCACAACCAGGGCTCTAACTCAGGTTGTAAAATAAAAATTCCGGGTTATCCCCACTGTCTGTGCCTTCCCTCAAGACGTCTACAAACGCTGTTCTTCCTCAGTAGAGATGACGTATTCTCAGGACGACTTGTCTCTCAAGTTAATCCTCTGAAAGTAGAATTGGACACATGTCCAGGCACCTTTCTCTATCGCCCTATTCTCCTTGTGACCAAAAGCATGTGCACAAACAGCTGTGTAGGATTAACAGGCACAGTCTGCATGTCTCTAGGACCTCAGGCCACATCCCAAAGGACAAGTGTTAGGAAAGGAAGTAAAAAAGAGCCAAGCAGTTATGACATTTGAGTCCAAGTTCCCTTTGGGCCTCAATTACCTGGGTACTTAACATGAAATCTTTGTTTGTTCCTGAATTTATTTGTATCTAACATAAGGGCTAATATCTGTGAAGTGTATGAAGATATAAAAACATTTTTTCATTCAGCAATGGCAAATTTTATTGCCAAAGACTTTAGTATTAGGGGAAGTAATATGCCATGCCTTGCAGACCACAGGGATCATTCCAACTTCTAGAAATATCACAAGGGAGCACTGGGCAAGGAAATTGGAGCTCAGAAGTGACACACAGACGCCAACTGTTACCATAGTTACAACAGGAAAGGCCACGAGAGACGTACTTTTTCCTATAAGCAGTGAGATAAGCCTTGTGTGATTCAGGATCACTGGGGTGAATAATCCTACTCTACCCACAGGGTTTCATCCTGGTTGCCCTGAGTTATAATATGTAACAGGAAGCAAAAGGAGGGATAAAGGATTTGTTTACCAATCAGTAAAATTGTTACTGTTGTTCTACCAGTTAACCTTTACTCTCAGAACCTGCACAAACTTGCAAAGTCTTTAAATTATTCATTCCCTTACTAGCAAATTGTTGGAATTAATGGCCATGACCAATTTTAGTTAGTTTGGATATGATACTCAACAGGGTGATAAAAGGGGAAGAATGTCTCTCTAATTCCTGAATTTCTGAGGCTGGATCAGGATAGAGCTATGGAGATCACAGCAACGGAGATTCCCCAGGGCACCCCCATAGCACTTTCTGCCTCCCAAATGTGGCTTTCTCAGCATGACGGAATCAGGTCTAACTTGTCTTCCAATGTTTGAGTCTCTTCTACAGCACCCCTGCCACAGTGGCTTGTATTCTTTACTTCGATGACAACTTTGTTGGTGGTGCACTCATTATGATTTGAGCCAGATTTCATCTTTAGACAGCCCTGAGAGATAATAATGATTTCAACAACAAATAACAACTAACACGTATTGTGGGTCACTGTATGTGAGACACTATTAAAGTGCCCTCTAATTTCATTTCATCCTCAGAATGACCCCAGGAGGTAGATAACTATTATCATCATCTCCATTTTACAGATGAGGAAACTAAGGCTTAGAATAGTACAGAAACTCCTCCAAGGTCACAGAGCTATGAGACATCAGAACCCAGGGAGCCATGACCCCCAAACCTGAAAGAAAGTTCTATCCTCCAACTTCTTCACCTGGAGCTGGAATCCGTCTCCTTGTGATTTCCATCCACTGGTCCTAGTTCTATCCTCTGAAGACCCATGGAAATAGCCTTAAATCCTCTTTGACTACTAGTTCTTCAGAAATCTAACATGACTTTCAGGACTTTTTATATTCTGTTCTGACCACAGGATGCTGTTTTTAGATGTCTACTCTTCAACCCCTCTAAACTATGTATTTTTCTCGTTTGGCTTATTGCATTAGCTTTCTAATGGTTTCTCCTACTCTGCTATCTGTCCTACACCCAGCAGCCATGGCAGGCCTTAAAATAGTCAGATCGCTTCAGTCCTCTCAAAACACCCTGTGGCTTCTCATATCATTCAAAGTAAGAGTAAAATTGTTATAACCAACTTCAAGATGATAAAGCCCCATGATATGGCTTCCACTTCCATTCTCTCCCCTCTTGCTCATACTGCTCCAGGCACACTGGCCTGCTTCCCGTTCCTTGAACATGCCTACTATGTTCCCAGCTCCATTCCCTGGAATACCCTGATCTGGAATATTGTAGGGGAGTAAGAAATTTTCTTCACTCCTCTAGGTCCTTCTGGCTGGTCTAAGAATTGAATTGACATGAATCAGAATAACAGGAGAAAATCAACGAGGTTTAATAATGTGTATACATGGGAGAAACCCAGGAAAACTGAGTAACTCACCAAAATGGCCAAAGCCACCACCTTAAACACCATCTTCAGCTAAAGACAAGGGAGGATATTGGGGGTAGTGGTTTGGGACTTCAAAGGGGAGAAAGGCAAGTCACATGGAGATGGGAAAGCAAATGCTTAGTAAACAAAAGTTTGCAATGCCTTGCAAAGACAATGATAACTGGAGAGGACTTGGATCAAATGGGCCTAGCTAGGTTCCTGTTCCAGGAAGGAGCTATCTTAAATCCTTTTAGGCAATTGAGGGGAAGGCCAAAGTTTCTTCCTGAGTCTTTTGTTCTTAAAAATAATCAAACCAAAGAGACACATTTTGGGGTAGCAGATTCTGCCCCCCTACAATTTCCACTTGGTTCTTTCCTGCCCCACTTCCTGTCTGCCCTCCAAAATCACCTTATTGACAAGTGAGGCCTTCTCCAACTACTCTACTGAAAATAACAAATCTCTCCCCTCACTGGTGCTATCTCTCTTCCTTCCTTTCTGTATTTTTCTCCATAGCACTAATGGCCATCTGACTTGTTTATTTTACTTATTTCTTTGTTTTTTGCTTGCCCTCTCTGTTTACCCCCACAGGAGAATGCAAGCTCCATGAGGACAGAAAGTTCAATTCTAAGGTCAAATCATAAGAAACTGGCCCATGACATGACCATTTCATGTGGGTCAACCTACCACACCACCCCCAGCACTAAGAGCAGCCACTGGCACAGAGCAGCATTCAGTAAGTAGTTGGTGAATAAATAAATAGTTATCCATATACTGATACTAAAAATATTATAGAGCTTTAATGCACCTTATTATCCTTGGAAAGAACTTTACTATCAACTGGTCAGATTTCTGATATCATCTCTGTCTTCCTAATAGCATGTGTAGCTGAATATAGATGGATATGCGAATAAACATTAAAAACTCTTTTGTTGATATACTGAACCTAGCTTTTGATTGTATGATATTTTCTTCATAGCATTTACTAGTAATTTTAACACTGATTGTCAGCCACAGAATATCCTGTGTTGAAAGGGGAAACTTTCTTATCAATTGGTAGAATCTGTTTGGATTCAAGATAAGCTTCTTTCTTATGCTAAGTTAAGGCGTGATTTTGCACAATCACCTGCCCTAGTGTGACCCACTTATTACCACTGTGTTTACACAGAGGAGTGGGTATCCTTCAGAAAATGACGACGAACCAATAAGAATGGTCCACTTGAAAAATCTCTTAATTTGTAGCTTATAATGAGCATCTAGCTGAAAATCACTGCAAAAACAAATTTTTTCACAGGGCATCATTTTCTATTGGCAGATTTGACATAGTATATTTGGTTTACTTTAACAATGTTTCAGCCACTATGTTTAAAAAAAATGCCAGAAATTCTAATGTCAAGAAATAGAGACACTATGATGGAATACATTATACAATATTAAAAATATTAGGTAATAATTATTGAGCACCAACACAGAAATCCTTATCGTTGATCACAAGGTGTTGTGGAAATAGCTGTCAAACCCAAGCCAGCTCTTCGATTACCATTTCAAATTATTCACCGTTAATTTGCAGTGATGCTTATGGAAAGCTGAGGGTTTTGTTCTCACACACTGAAGGCAAGGAGACAGTTCAAAACTTTTAAATACAGAAAAGCAAGTATTTTTTCTTCCATTTTAAAAGCCCCTCAAGAATAACAAATCAGCAAGAATTCTCACATTCATCTACAATTGAATATAAAGCATTAGTTTTTTTATACCCACAACAAAACATGGACCTGCAGAAGTTTTCAAACAATCCTCCAGCAGCTTCATGCGGGTCTTCTGGAGCTCTGGGCTGTCCCATTCATCTTCGTCAACTCCCCAGTACAGATCTATGACCTGCGAACCAATGGATGAGGCAGCATTAATTCACCTGTGGGAAAATTTAATTTACCTGTGGGCTTTATTCTTATGCACAATGTTGAGCGAATGTGACTTTTAACTTTTCTCTTTGCAGCACATTTTCCCTTAGAGAGGGAAAATGATATTTAAGATCCATTTAAGGAGATTTTTTTTTTTATCCCGTGATGAGTTGAGGATGAATATTGTAATTTCTTCTTTTATTCCTGATTATACTGTTGACATGAGCCCACAGATAATGAAATGTTAAATGTCAGAGACTTTGCAGTGTGGGCTTTCATTATATTGAAATGGTAACAGGATTTCAAAACCATGTTTGAAAGCAGCTGGGATATGGTTACCACATTATTTGAGACAATTAAATAACAGTGTATAACGTTATTGTATGTCTTAATAAGAGAAGGGAAAACCACAATGGGCATTAACATATACTGACCTGAAGTTAAATATCGACATTTCTTGAAAAAAAAAAGAAAGGAAAAGAAACTAAAAACACCCTGTCATTATCATGCTTTATCTCATGTGGACAGGCATTCTGTTTATGTCTGTTTTATTTGGAGGCAGTTGGTTTTCATCAATATATCTCTGAAAAACATGTATTGGGAAACAATGAAAGGCATGCCTCACTGAGAAGTGAGGATAATACGCTCCTCTGTCTCCTTACTTCAAAGACTATGAGAGAAGATTCTGAAAGTCTGTAAAAACTTTCACAAGTACACTCTTTGAAAAATTTGCTATGGAGAGCAGTATGGGATTCATTCCCTTTACTCAACTACTATCTACATAAGGTAAATGTTTCCATTTGTAGCTTTGAAGATTTCTTCTTTTCCCTTCCTTGTTTCCCCACAAGCAGAAAAAAGAACCTCTCCTCCTTACTGGCTCTTTGCATGGCATGCAGTGAGATGGAGGCAGAAAACATGGGTCCTCCATTGTGCCCCAAGCAGATTCCAGAGACCCTGTGTATTTCCCATCTCTCGGTCATGGCCCCAAACAGGCGTGTTTGTACCAGATCTTTGTCTATCTGCATTTGAGTTTTTAGATGGCTGATAGAGATATAACAGCTTCTTTAAACAATATTCCCACGGCCCAACCCAGGAATTTTATAATATATGAAAGTATCGGCACTGATTTTCTTTTTTTTGAGGAAGATTAGGCCTGAGCTAACATCTGTCGCCAATCCTCCTCTTTTTGCTGAGGAAGATTGGTCCCAAGCTAACATCTGTGCCCATCTTCCTCTATTTTATATGTGGGACGCCTGCCACAGCATGGCTTGACAAGTGGTGTGTAGGTCCGCACCTGGGATCCAAACCGGTGAACCCTGGGCCGCCAAAGCAGAGCACGTGAACTTAACCACTACATCACCAGGCCAGCCCCTTTCAGCACTGATTTTGAGTTTCTTCCCTTTAATCTACCTTACAAGGTTTGATCACAATATTAAGGTTGGGGACATCAGAGATTATAATTTCACTGTCCAATATGAAAACCTTTAGCTGTGGCTATTTAAAATTAAACAAAAATTAATTAAAATGAAAAATTCAGTTCTTTAGGTGCTCAATAGCTATATGTGGCTACTGACTCCTATGGTGGAAAGCACGGATACTTCACCATCACAGAAAGCTTAATTGGACAGAACTGTAAATTACTGAGCTTCATATACTGAAATCATTAGAACAAGACATTTTCAGCCATCTGCCAATACATTGTCAAAGTAAAAGAACGAATAAAATGCAATGTGAGTGATAACTCTTAGTTGTGCCATGCACAAACTAACAACCATACACAAAGCCTGGTCTCCATCCTTCTGGCTGACACTATTTGGATATATCTGAGGAAATGTCTGATTTAAAAAACAAATGAATAGAAACAGAAATGGTAAATATGAAGGTCAATATAACAAAAGGTATAAATATATACCTGCTTTTCTTCTCTCATCGTTTTTAAACATAAAACTATATAAAGGAATAATTATAATATGTCATTGAATTTGTAACATATATAATAAAAGTAGGACAGAAAGGGGGAAAAGGGAACAGAGGTATATAGGAGTAATCTTTCTATAGCTCACTGGAATTAAGTTAGTATAAATTGTAAGTAGATTCTGATAAGATGTATATATATTAAAATAACTACAAATAAAATAACTCAAATATAGTTAAAAATCATTAAAAGAATTAAAATGTTACACTAGAAAATATTCACTTAATACAAAGCAAAGAAGTAAAAGAGAAGTAGAGAAACACAAAAGACATCAGACATATAGAAAAAAAGTAAAATGGCAGATGTCAATCCAACTCTATCAATACTACCATTAAATGTGAATGGATTAAACAGTCTAATCAAAGGCAGAGACTGTCAGACTGGATAAAAACAAGATCCAACTATATGCAGTCTATAGGAGACACACTTTAGATTCAAATAGGTTGAAAGTAAAAGGCTGGGAAAAGATATCATGCAAATAACAACCACAAGAAAGCTTGTGTGGCTATATTAATAGCAAACAAAAGAAATTTTAAGCAAACAAAAGAAATTTTAAAATATAAAATGTGACTACAGAGATAAAGAGGGACATTTTATAATGATAAAAGGGTCAATCCATCAGGAGGATATAACAATTATAAAGGTATATGCCACTAACAACAGAGCCTTAAAATACATGAAGCACAAACTGACAGAAATGAAGGGAGAAATAGACAATTCAACTATAATAAATGGAGAATGGAATATCTCATATTCGATAATCAGAAGGACGACTAGAAAGAAGATCAATAAGAAACTAAAAGACTAGAACAATACTACAAACCAACCAGATCGAGCATATCTGTAGAGCAATCTACCCAACGACAACAGAATAGTCATTCTTCTCAAGTACTCGTAGAACATTCTCCAGGATAGAACACATATTAGATTATAAAACAAGCCCCAATAAACTTAAACAGATTTAAATCCTATAATGTATGTTCTCTGAACACAAGGCAATGACATTAGAAATCAATAACAGAAAGAAATTTGAGAAATTCACAATTACATGGAAATTAACATACTCAAAAATAAGCAATGAGTCAAAGAAGAAATCACATGGGAAATTAAAAAATACTTTGAGATGAATGAAAAAACTTATGGGGTGAGTTAAAGTAGTACTTAGAGAGAAATTTATAGCTATAAACACTTCTATTAAAAAGGAAGAAAGATCTTAAATCAATAATATAACTTTCTACCTTAAGACAACAGAAAAAGAAGAGCAAGATAAAGTATGCATAAGGACATAATACATTACAATGGAAATTAACGAAACAGAGAATAGAAAAACAATAGAGAAAATCAATTAAACCAAAAGATGGATCTTTGATGACATCAACAAAATGGACAAAACTTTAGCTGGATTGACAAGAAAAAGGAGAAACTCGAATTACTAAAGTCAGGGGTGAAAGAAAGGCCATTACTACTGACTTTATAGAAATAAAAAGGCTTATTAGAGAATACTATATACAACCATATGCAAATTAATCAGATTACTTAGATGAAATGGACAAATTCATAGAGACAAGTTATATAAATTGACTCAAGACAAAATAGAAAATGTGAAGACATTTTCAACAAGAAATCAAATGGTGATTAAAAAAAATGCACAAAAAGAAAAGTCTAGGTACAGATGGGTGCACTCACTGGTGAAATCTACCAAACATTTAACGAAGAATTAATACCAATCCTTCACCATCTTCCTAAAATTAGAAGAGGAGAGAACGCTTCCCAATTTATTCCATGAGACCAATATGACACTGGTACCAAAGCCAGACAAAAATATCACAAGGAGACTACAGAGCAATATCTCTTATAAAACAAACAGCCTCAAGAAAATAGTAGAAAACCTAATCCAGCAGCATATAAAAGGATTATACAACACAACTAGGTGAAATTTATCCCAGGAATGCAAGGTTGGTTTGGCATCAGAAAATCAACTAATGTAATACACTACATATCAACAGAATAAAGAACAAAAATCCTATGATCAATCTCAACAGACAGAAAAGACATTTGACAAAATCCAAAACCCCTTCATGATAACAACACTCAATAAATTAGGAATAGAAACTAACTTCCTCAACCCGAATGAAGGACATGTATGAAAAAAACTACATCAAACAGCATACATTTTAATGAAGAAAGACTGAAAGCTTTCCCCCTAAGATTAGGAAGAAGAAAAGGAAATCCACTATTACCTCTTCTATTCAACACTGTACTGGAGGTTCAGCCAGGACAATTAGGTAAGAAAAAGAAAGAAAATGCATACAGATAGGAAAGGAAGAAGTAGATCTATCTTTATTCATAGATGCTATGATCTTGCATATTGAAAATCCTAAGGAAACCACGAAAAAACTTTTGGATCTAATGAGTTAAATAAGGTTGTAGGAGACAAGATCAATGTGCAAAAGTCAATTGTACTTCTATACACCAGCAATGAACAATCCAAGATGAAATCAAGGAAACAATTTCATTTAAAAGAACATCAAGGAGAATAAAAAACTTAGGGATAAATTTAACAAAAGAAATGCAAAATTTATACTCTGAAAATTACAAAACACCATTGAAAGAAGTTTGAAAAGATATGAATAAATTGGAAGACATCCCATGTAAATGTATTGGGAGACTTAATATTGTGAACATGGCAGTACTCCTCAAATTAATCTACAGATTCAATGCAATCACTATAAAACTACCAGCTGGCTTATTTACAGAAATTGATAAGCTGATCCTAAAACTCACATGGAAATTCAAGAGACCCAGAATAGCCAAACAATCTTGTAAAAGAACAAAGTTGGAGGACTCGTACTTCTAGATTTCAAACTTACTACAAAGCTACAATAATTAAGATATTGTGGTACTGGCATAGGATATTCCATGGAATAAAACTGAGAATCTAGAAATAAATCCTCACACTAAGGTCAACTGATTTCAACATGGGTGCCAAAACAATTCAATGA